TTCAAAGATTGATTTACAAAAACTTAAATAACTGGACGAAAACTATTCTGATTGAGACTTATGGGATCTCGGTAGAAAGGTATTTTCCCACCATTTTTATTTATGTGCAAAAAAAGTAATTCGTGTCTCAATTTTTTTTCAAATACCAACACATCTTAATTAAAACTTTGAATGATGTTCGTTCATACTACCTTTCTCTTTCATCCTTTGAATGAGCTTATTAGCAAAGAAATAAAAAGTATGTAAGTTTTATAAGTATGTATAATTTGTATGTGCCATCTGACGGCGTTCAACCTCTTGACCTCTTGAAGTTAACAAATAGCAGCACGCTCCTCTGCACACTTAGCTACTGGTGAATACGTATGTATACTTGCTTTCAAATGCTCAGTTTGAACAAATATTTTAAAATTATTATTTTGAAATAACATGATGCCATTTTTCTGATATGAAAAATTTACAAAAATTGAAATAGTTTTCTGAGCGTTTCCGGATTCGAAAATTGTACTAAAACTGCACTGCGGCAAAAAGTACATTTCTCTGCTGGCTTGGCTTTAAAGCTGTATACTCAAAAATAATCTAATAATTCTGAGAAAATGTTTCAAATTTGGAAGAAAATTTGTAGAATTTTTTTAGTTTTTTACAAAAATTTTAATTTGGGGTTTTATGGGTTTTGCTAGAGAATAAACTGTATTTTAATTCAAAATTCTTAAAAGTAAATAAATAAACATAAGTGGTAAACAATATCACTTTGAAATGGGGGTGCATTGATAAGACCGATGCTGTATGCAATTTTTTTATATTGTAACAGTTGAAGTGACTGTATGTAATTTTTTTTTTATATGCAAAATCAAACTAAAACTGCAAAGAACCCAAAACAATAAAAGTTTTAAGTTTTAAAAAGTTTTTTTTTTAAGTTTTTTAAAGTTTACTTTATTTATTTTATTACGTTTCATATTTGTTTACATATTCTGGTGTAGGTGGTCCCATAATCAATCTCCGTCAGACATAACTTCAAAATGATAATATGAAATTTCGATCTTCCTTTTATTTGTCGTCTTTTCGAAAAAGTATTTGCGAAGTGCAGGATATTTAAATAGAAACGCGTTTAAAGAAAACAATCTCCTGCATTACTTGTCGACTATTTTCAAGTTAGCTTTTTGTAGCTACTTAAAAGTTATATATTTTAGAGAAATCCAACAAAAAAGCTAACTACAAGTGAGTTATTTTTTATCAATTGATAATTTTTTTCTGCAGGGTATGGGCCTTAACCCTAAATTTGATATGGGAACAATCCGCCATCTTGGATTTTAGGTTTTTTGTTTTTATTGCGAGCTTATTTTGCATTTTTCATAAAATAGTTTCAATACAAACTTGTGGATAATTTACCTAACCCCATTTTTTATGAAATTGTAAAACCGTGACATTTTAGATTTCTTCATTTTTTGGCAGCAACAGCAAATAGTTTTGATTTTTTTTTAGCGAAAAACCTTCCACACAGAAGTTCCAAAAAGCGCGGCTGGTTATGATTGAACACACTTAAATTGAATGTGAATAAAACTAAGTTTGTGGTTATATCAAGGCGAAATTTTGAACAAAATTGTAAAAATTGTTGCTTCTGTTGATCTAATAAACCGCCTACACATTTTTTTTTTAAATATCTATTATGTAAAGATATCGGTCTGTTACAATTGTATTATTCTCAAATACTTTCGTTTAATTTCCATATGGCAACATTTAGCTTCAAAAATATTTTCGAAAGTAAACTTTCTAAAACTCTTTAGTTTAATATCCGTATTGTAATATTTCATTTATTTTACCGTTTTAAATTAATACAAACACCCAAAAAATTTCCCAAGTTCTTTAATTTGATGCCTTTATTGCAATATTAAATTTATGTTATCAATTTAATTAAAAAAAAGTTTTCAAACCGGTAGACCTTTGTAAACCGCTTTCTATTGACAGCCGTATTGCAACATTTACTTTATCGTATCAATGTACTTAAACTGAAATTTTCAAATAGGTGGCAACTCTCTAATTTTTTCTTCTATATTGTAAGTTAGACCTCTATCGATACATCGGTGCAAACTGAACTCGCTTCCATGCATTAGTTTTCGAGTGATAGATTTAATTTATTTTATCAATTTAATTCAATAAAAATGTTCAACCCTCCTCAAAAATATTTTCGGCAGTAAACTTTCCTAACCCTCTTCAGTTTGATACCAATATTGCAATATTCAATTTATCTTATCAATTAAATTAAATAAAAAATTTCCAAAAAGATGGCAACCCAAAAAAAATTCGGCATAAGTCCTCTCTCTTTTGACGGCCATATTGCAATCCTTACTTTTTGTTATCAATTTACTTAAACTGCAATTTTGAAACAGGTGGCAACCCTCTATATTTTAAGTTAGACCTCTAGTAATACATCGATGAAAACTGCATTCAATTCCATGCATTAGTTTTCGAGAGGTGCGCGACCAAACATACATACAGACAGACATACAGACAAAAATTCTAAAAAAATATCGATTTGGCTTCTGTTGCTCCAATAAATACCCCTCATTAATTTTTCTTTAATATCTGTGATGTACAGACATCGGCCTCTTACAATTTTATTATACGTATAGATAATTAGCAAAAAGCGCGAAAAATTGGTTTTGCTTTGTTGCAACAATTTCTGTTGAAAATACTTGCCACATTTAAGTGTCAAGGTTGTAGAGAACTAACTAATTAGCATTCGACTAGTGGTAACTATTTATTGACTACAGTATATTTTGCTTAGCTGCACATCCTTCTTTGCACGAAAAACGTGTGGACGTAACCGAAAAAGGCACTTAAGCGAATTTTCTTTACTACTTCAATAAGGAAGGTATCTGAATCCCTATGTAACCAAATATTGGCGGAGCACTTACCATGTAGAAATTACTGCAAGCGAAATTTTTACCGAATGTTATCTAATTATCTATATAACTACATAAATTGATAGCCATTTTCGTTGTTCTGCGAGATGAGCAAAATAAATAAAAGCTTGTAAAATTAGGTAATTGTAGGGCCAGTGCAGGTAAACGTAATACTTTCATTGATAATTTATACTAGTCGCACAATTTTTAAGGCAGGTATCGCCACTGTGCAGTTATGTTGAATGCATCTATCGGAGCAGTTTCCTTATAAATGTTAAAAATAATGCTTTTGATGCGCATTTTGGGGTAGGTATCTTAAATGTGCACTTAAGCATAGAGGCAGCAAAGCAAAATATACTGTATTTCCTTTGGCCGTAATTTTGTGTAGATATTTAAATAGAAACTTGTAAAGAAAACAAACTTCCGATAACGTCTGCACGACTTTACAACTAACTTAAAGTTAGTTTTGTTGTTAGCTAGTTTAAAGTTATTTATTTATCGAACTCCCCCAAAAAAGCTAACTAGAAGTTGGCTAACTTTTTTCATCAGGGTAGTGGTGTAAGGGATGCGGCTTCAAATTCATTTCCACAAAATTGAATTTAAAGCCATTCCCTAATGGATTTTTGTTTTCTGAGAATTTCATGTAGAATCCGAATCTGCTGGGAACGATGTCAAAAAGGAGATGTTAAAAAACAGGGGCAGAGAAGGCGTTCCAGTTTTGGTTTAGTCTGGTGGGCGTTCTGCTTGAGAACAAAAGTATTATAACCTTACGTTAAGAATGAGAGGATCATCTGCGTGTTGGGATCAAAAATCGCTTCAGTGAGAACCACCATTGTTAATTCAAAGCCAGAGGAAAGCTGGATAATTTCAACTTCCAGATCGTTTATCATTACAACGAAACGAAAAATTACACTGAAGATGGCACAACGCCGAAACCGGTTTGTCTCCAAACCAAATTTGACAAGGGATGACGGAAATTCGTTCCAAAATACATCGAACAATTTTTATTTCTGTGAAAGACAAGTTTGTGTCTGAAGTCTTTAGTCGACTTTATTTGTATAATTATGTTTCAGTTATTTTCTGATTAATTTTAAAATGCAAACAATTCAAAATAATGGAACGCTATGAGAAAAATTTTGTTCTCTCTTCCTTTCTTCGCTAATAGTTCAGAGAATATTTCTTCTCGTTTCGTTCTCTGTCAGAAAGTTCCTGAGACTCTAGTTCCAAAATAGTTCTTCGAGAGAAACTCCCTAAGATTTTGATCCCGTTTTGTTCTTTCCAAAACGTTGCAGAGACTTCTGTTCTCTTAAAAATACTCCCGAATTTTTCGCAATTTGTCCTCTTTGGGAACGTTCCACATGGGTTTGTTCTTATTTAATTCCCATTCAGAACGTTCTCGACAGTTTTCTAATTTCGGTTTTAGTTTTGAAGAGTCCTTGGGAACAAAACAACAATGAAAAAAAAAATCGTTCCACAAAAATTGACCCGGCCTAATGTGAAATATAAATATGTATGTGTGCAGATTTTTATATATGTAGCGAAAAATAAATTATCTAAAAAATTGTTGTCGGTATTGTAAAAAAAATTCGCTGTGCCTAAACTTTATTGACTGACTGTAAGAGTCGACCTAGAGTATCTGCGTCTTGAAACTGTCACACAAATTGGGGAAAATAATTGTAAAGTATTTTTATATTAAAAAATATGTCAAAGAAAAATCAGATTTGTAAAAAAAAAATATTATTAAGAATAATCAAGGCGAATTTATATAAGGTGGTGTTGCTAGAACAGCTGCTTTAATTCGCCTCGGTACACATATGTCAAAACTCCTTATGAGTGAATGCGAAAGAAAGAGTGTTGGCATTTTCTTTCCCTCTTCCTCCTTGAGCGAAGAATAGCTGGAATTTGACATTTGTGTACCGAAAACGAAAACAAAAGACATGTTAGTTTTTGTTTTTGTACTACCGCTACCACCTTATATGAATTCGCCTTGAGGATAATAACGTACTTCGTCCCAAATTTTATTCACAAATAATTGAACTGAATGAGTTTTTATATTAAATATATCATTACTATTATGCTGTATTTATTGTCTATTTTCAGATTTGTAAAAGTGGAGGGCGCTAGTTGAAGATGGCGCCTCGGATATAGCTGTTATCCAAAGCTAACCCGCGACATCCATGTGCCTCATGTAAGACTC